TTGCTATTTACGTTTTAATTTGTAGAATTCCAGATGTGATTTTAGAGTTACTTTAGATTCATCAGCGATACATTTATACAGTTTTGTGATAAATATCTGCAAACAGTTAATTTCACATTTTGTGAATTCTTATTTATGCTCTATATGGGCAATGATGCCTCCTGACCTCCTGATGAGCCCCAGACTAGGGGTCTTAGCACTGTGGCCCATAGCCCTGTACCTACCTATTACTACAAGGAGAAAGGGAAAGAAAACCATAAGAAATATTTTAGAGCATTAATTTTAAACTTCGTTTTGGTATAAACTTCTATGAGAATTTTTTTTTTTAAAGCCTACAGCACTTGGTCTTCCTAGGTGGTCTCCCATCCAAGTACTAACCAGGCCTGACCCTGCTTAGCTTCTGAGATCAGATGAGATCAGGCATGTTCAGGGTGGCATGGCTGAACCTCTATGAGAATTTAAAGAAAGCTTCCATGACCTTTTTCCTAGAAAAATGTATATACATACAAATGTTGACATACTTTTGACTATTCCTGGATCCCCTCACACTTAATCATGGGTCCCAGGATAAGTACTCTTGCCTTAAGGACTTAATTGCATACAATTTCAGATAATGTAATCCTGTGTTGACTTGACATTAATTTGTAGTCATGCCATTTGAGATTGACAGGATGCCAAAAGCAAGGTCATCGATCAAAGAAAGACTGAATATCTAAAGGAAAGGTCCTCCTTTATTGGCAACTGTAGATGAGAAAACTATCACATTAGCCATATATATCTATAGTACAGCAATCAGTCGTATCTTTAGATGCAATAGATAGCATGTTAGTAGCATTAATGACAAATGTATTACAGTAGGAATAACAGTAGTGTTAACAACTAATGTTTATTGAGCATTTATTATGTGCGAAGCACTGTTCTAAGTGCTTTACATGAATTAATTTGATCTTTAAAACCATCCTAAGAGATAAGTGTATTTTCCTTATTTAAAAAAGGAGAAAACAGAAGCTTTCTAACTATACATAGTGGAGACAAGACCTAACACATGCATAATAGACTAATATTAACAGCATGTTTCCCTGAACACAATTTGACCCAGTAGTCTATCAAAATCTATGTGATAATAAAACGAGGTTCACTAATATTTCCTATAAGAACACGATGTTGACTAATAAATTACCTGGGGAAGGGCTTTCTTTGATCATTTTAAAATATGCACACCTCAAACACAAAAATGTGTGTACTTCTTCCAAAGATGAAGAATTACTAATCATCTATACTTTAAAGAGATAACATCGGCACTGACATTCTTAGACTATGACACTCCCTCTTCAAACTTTTCATTTTTGGACTAACTTCAGAAAGCTTAAGCATTCTTAATAAAAGACATGAGTTGGGGCAAATGCTGGGAATTTGGGTGGAAATTGCCACCGCTTCATGTACAAGGCCTGCTCCTTGCCAGGGATCTGAAGTGACTTCATCACATGTGTTAAGCAAACTGAATTCCCTCAACCTCGTGGGAACTAAGCCCCCAGGCAGTGAAGTTAGTTAGAAGTTAGGGTGTGGTGAACTCACTCACATTCAAAAATCCTCCTTTTTTTTTTTACCTGGCACAAGCACAGTCCTGGCTCGAACCTGCCTCTCAGACTTTTCACTCTTTTAATTAAAGCTGCAATTTGCACTCCACCCTCTTATTTCTCATAGCACTTCAGAGAAACTGGAATGTCAGAGGCTGGAGGAAATAGGAACATTTTGGACATTATTCTACAAGTTTAAATTCCCATGCAATTGAAAACCCAAAGGTGACTAGGCTGCCAGGTGAGAAACTGTTGCTATCCTTAAATGGTAATTACTGGCAATGTTATCACAATTACTAAAACCTACCTAGCTCAGGGCCACAAGTACAAGGAAGCCTAATAAAAATATCATCCGAAAATCGGGATAATATTGCTTCTAACCAAAGTCAAATTTGCTTACAGTGAGGTCTTTGTACTCTTTGGGTACTAGGGGAGCCCGACTTTATTTTTTTCTGTAAAGCTTCATCAGAACCTTCCACAGCATCTTCAAGGCTTTGCTCAGAATCATTTGATTTTGATTTTTCTGCTTCATTTATATTGGACTTGTCAAGGTTGTCAGACATCCTCGATTAAGTTTATTCACTTTCCTAGAAAAGAAAAAACAATGAACCAAAATGTTCTAGAGAACTAGATGGTCAGTCATTAGTCGTGTGACTCTAGGCAAATCATTTAATCTCTTTGGGTTTCAGTTCTCTTATCTGTAAAATAAATGGGCTTGCCAAAATCTTATCCAGCTATAATAATCTACTTCAATGATTAAACAGATACCTGTAAAGTGACACTTGTAATTTATCAAACTTATGGACCTGTACCTCAGATAGAGAATAACAAATTTAAATATTTTTGTCTCAATCCTGAGTACATCACAAGAACACAGGGCCTTAAATTGTTAGAAGAAAACACTATAAACTGCCTGCTTCTATTTTAATCAAAGAGTGTTTCAATTCTGAAATTTTTTATTTTCATTCTTGAGAGCTGATAGGAAACCTCTTTGGAAATAATGCTTTTAATCAAGCTTCCAAGTGAACATACTGAATTGTGGAGTTGTTTCCCTGATCCTATTATGTGGATAAGATACCTGGGGAAGACAGAAGGTAGAATTTTATGAAGCATCTAAGAAGAATGTGTGGGGCAAATACTTATTATTAACTCCTCGCTAGTCATCAGGAAAAGATAGTGAGTAAAGCAGGAAGTTGCAAATAACCATATTGGGTTGGGTGGGGTTTTAATTTCTTTTAATAGCTGATTAGAACAGGAATAACACTTCGCACTTATTTTACAGTAAATAAGAGGTTACTATTCCAGGCCTTTATTAATTGGTTTGGGCCAGTTAATAAAGGCCTGGAATAGTAAATAACCTCTTATTTACTATAAAAATTTTTGTCAAGTTGTGTCCCCTCACCCCACTCCCAGCAGTTTTAATTAGAGTTCTCTATTCCTAAGATGTTTTCAATTAAGGGAGAAGAAAGACACAATGTTTCTGCATTTACACTACAGAAAATAATTAGCATTTGTACTATTAGCACTTTAAGATCATAAAACATTTTCATAAACACTAATAAGACTTTATTACACACCTGGAAGATAATCCAGGATCAAAAGAAATGTCAATTGTTTTCGGTAGATTTGGCAAACTACACAATGGAGAAGAATCACTTTATATAATTATCTGAAATTTCAGATACCTCCGTTAAATAGAATGAAGTTACTGGAGTTGGCATTTTCAGACCTGTGTTATTAATATGAAGGCTGCTTTAATGCAATTAGTTCTCCTTTACATTCCAACATCCCAGTCCAGACATGCGTCTCTTCTCTGTCCTAAATCTGGCTCTGCAAATGCTTCAAGATCCAAAAGACAACATTACCCAGCATATTCTATGAGAAAGGGCAAACAAAAACACTTCTAATTTTATCCTCTTCACATGCTGGGAATGAGCTCAGAAATGATGAAGTAACTCATTCTGTGCAGTGAGGAGGTAAGGCAGGATTTCCAGGTCTCTAACACTAAATAAGCAAACTAACCCATCTTTTAAGATTGGCTCAAGTCCAAGCTCCTCCCAGGACACCTCCCCAACTTCACCAGTATTTGCACCTTTCTCTGAACTCCTGTTACTAGACATCTGGCATTCACCATTGCTTAAAGCCAATTCAAAATATGTTTCTTTAAATAGGAATAGATGAAAAGGCATAGTCTGGAGGGGGGAGATATGATATGTTTACAAGGAAACACAGTGAAACTTAAGCCTTAATGGCATTATGATCTCCTTAATAGAGATCACTATGGGAAATGTAGCAGAGGGAGAAACTAATTCTGCCTGGAAGGAGGTTGGGATAACCTTCCCAGAAGAGGTGACATTTAAGCTGGTCTTTTTGAAAAGGGTAAGATTTAACCTAATTTAAAAAATACCTGGAGGGGAAGAGGAGGTGAAAAGGGGGGCATTTCAGTCAAAGAGCAGAAGTGAAGGCACCCGAAAATGAATAGCAGTAAAAACAAGTGTCAGGTGATGAAGATGAAAAGATGGGTTAGGGCCAGATTGTAAAATTGCTGGGTTTTATTTTTTTAAAACTCACCTAGATTTTTAACTTCTTAAGGGCCAAGACCAACCATGTTTCCCACATACGTGTAAGTATATCCTCTAAACAGATACCCACCAAGGATTTGTTGATAGCTGTGTCATCTCTGATGTCAGTTGTATGTGGGAGGGATGGGCGTTGGGTTCCAATTCAGACTCTTTACTACCTGTTTAACTTCAGTTTCCTTATCTATCAAATGCAGCTAACCTAACTCTTCGGTTTGGGGAAAGTTTAAACGACAGAGCATGCATAACAACAGATGGCACACAAGAGGCTACCCACGAATGGTAACTATAGTTAGAAGGCTAGAGGATGCAGCGAGGAACCATTTAACTACTTACAGTGTGCTCATTCATTCAACAATCACCAACTCCTGCTATGCCTAAAAAAGGAACCGAGGGTAGGAGGATCCTCGCACTTGCGGAGAAGACCGTCTATCTGATCTTCACGCCAGGCCCAAGCTGGACACCAGAGATTCCCCAGCAAAAAAAAGATCTTTGAGCAAAAAAACAGGGGCTCTGTCCACCGACGCCGGGAATCGCTTTCTCCGGCACTCAGTGCCACTCATTCTCAGGGTCCAGATACCGTTGTAAACAACTGTTTGGGCCGGCGAGGGAGTGGCCCAGCCGGGATCAAGCGATGGACGCGGGGCGCGCCTGGACAACCGCCAAGGGTTGGGACAAAGGCCGCACTAAACCTCAACCCGCCCGCTGTCCCTGCCTCTTCCTCGCCTGCACCCGACATCACCGCGACCCGACGGGAAAAGGCGAAGCAATGCTGGTGACTTTGACCTCGTGCTTCCCGGGCGGGCGCCACAGGGCTGCCAGCCTCCGCGTCCGCATCCCTCACCTGCCGCGGAGTCGGCGTTCTCGCTCCTGCTGCTGGGGCGGAGAATCGGGCGGGAAGCGATGTGCGGCGGGCCGGGCGGCTCAGCCTCTGCCCCTCAGAGGCCACATCCCTCGCTGATCTCCCGCCCGCCTCGGGTGGGGAGCGGCCACCGCAGTCGCTCATCCGCGTCGGCAAGGGGGAGGCTGCTCTTAACCAGGAGGCGCCCGCCCTACGGAGGGCGACGCCATGTTTCTGTACGGAAAGGCGGGGGGGCGTGACTCAGCCGGAGGCGCCATGTTTCCCTACGCAGAGGCGTGGCGGGGAGGCTCCGTGCCCGCCGAAAGAGGCCAAGCGGGCGGTGGCTCGGCGCCTGGCAGCGCCCGCGCAGGGCGGCGCCATGTTCCCGTACGGAAAGCTGGGCGCAGAGGCCGGGCGCTTCCAGAGGGACGCCTCGGCCAGAGCCGGCGGCGGTACACGCGAGGTGGAGGACGCGAGGTGGAGGACGTGCGGCGTCCGGCGAGTGAAGGAAAAAAAGAAGTCGCCCAGCCGCAACTGCATTCAAAGCCTTCTCGCCCAGGTTTTCAAATTGTAATATTACTTGGTGTTTCGTAGCTGCACGTAGTTTATTCCCCTCCCCTCATGTTGGTGGTTAAAAAAAGTCATGCGTACCACCTGGATAGCCTAGCCAAACAGACTAGGTTTGGTTTGGGGGGTCCTCCCTTACATTTACTAAGTAGCTGCTACACTTTGTCCATAGGAGGAGCTAGACTATAGCTTTGAAATGACGGAAGTCAAGAGGAAAAACGGTTCTCATGAAGGGTCAGCTCGGTTTAGGTAATTCATAAACACAGTGAGTTCTCGGAGTATTTTATTACGGCTGTGTTCTAGAAAGGAAAACTATATGTTAAGATAAGCCCATTTTGGAGCCTCATCTCCCTCAGCCCCAGGGTGTGAGGACCGTGACTAATCTCAGGGCTGGACGACTAGTTGCTGCTCCAAGAAAACCATGCTTTCCTCAACCTGTAGCGGTAAGATAGCGAACTATATGAATAGGAATAGTTTTTGTGCCTAATCTTAAAAAATAAAAGTTACATGAACAAATTGTTCATTTGTAAAAATGCTTTAAGATTGAAGAGTATAAATCACGTATGCCTTAAAATGAAGGTAATCGTCTCCTGTAGCTCATATACTTCTTATATTTAAGTAAGTAGAACAAAATAGGGTTGAATTAGTGCCTTCAAACACTACTTCTAAGTAGATCACATGTGGGCAGGCCTCTATTGAGTGTCCTACTTTCCTTACATTAATATAAACAATTTTCACATGTGGAGAGGACACTGCCACAATACCAAAACCACTATTTGACATAGAATAGCTACTTGTAATCTTCTGAAATATTTGAATTATTTCCTTTAAATATTAAAAATATATTGACACATGTTCCAGTTTGATTTTTGGCTTGCAAGAACTGGAAACTCAAATTACCTCAAGGTAAAGAGAGTTCACTCCAAGTCTGGAAAGAGACTTGGAAGGAGAAAGCTGGCAGCTGCTCTAGAGATCTGTCATCTCCGCGTCTCACAGGATCGCTCTCATCACTTGTCTGCTTCTTGTTGCAAGCTACAGACTGGCTTCTCTATTTTCTTAGTTGTTGCTCCCTCATAATTTAGATTTTTCTATATAAAATTTGGCCAAGCTGATTTTCATGCCGTCAGTCTCATTTACTTATAGGTAGGCTGTCCTTGGATCAACGCTTAGCCCTGGTCTCCTCAGCTAGGTTGGTGGGGAGGCTCACAGCCACGTAGGCATTAGGTGTATAAGTGGGGATGGGTCCCTAAGAAGGCATCGTGGATGAGTGAATGAGGGCACACAATAAACAGTCGACAACTCCAGTGATACAGGAGGGCCGCCCAAGGCATTCAGGGTAACACTGGACCTGTGGTTTAAAACTTTAACAGTGCTTGCAGTAAACATGACCAATTTTTCTTAAAACTTTATTCTTGCTTATCAAGTTTGAGGTAAACTGTGGTTTTACTAGATTTCCCATGAAACTATCATTCTGTTAGAAATGATGCTTCTTCTAGGACCATGAATACAACCAGACAGTTAATTCTGCCTTTTTAAATAATCATTCTCTTTGATGATATGCAAAGTAAAGGTTGCAAATCAGATAGTACAGACACAGATGCTCTGCCAACTATAGTCTCATCACTTTCAGTAGTTTCTGAAAACTTCCTCACACTTAAACCATGAACTCTCTTCTTCCACTTTAGTGTAAAGAGCTGCCTTCCCTGCTTGCCTATGCAAACGACTGTTATTTCTTGCTTTATTTGAATAGGTATCAGGGATATATTATAGATATGAGTCCTCAACTTCCACTTAAAGACTAGTCAGTACCAGTTATATCTTAGAAAATAAAGGAATGACATGCTAGCATATTGGTGCATCATTTTAGTTTTCTCTACCAGTCATTAAAAGTCGAGTTTAAATAGATAAAATCAGTTTATCTCATTTTTAGGTTTATTATTCCAAGGTTGACAATTTCAAATTGTATTATATTGCTTATTTACCAAATATATCTTGGAATAATCATTAACTTGGATAAAAAGTTGAAGACTTTAGTTCTAATGACAAATTTACAAGAAATACTGGACAGAGAGGAACATGATAAAGGATAGGCTAGGCTTGCAATCAGCAAAATCCAGATTGGGAAATTCAAGAACTGACAAGGTTTATTCAACAAGAGACCGAGAAAGTGAGAGGGAGGAAGAAGGAGGGAAAAGGGGAAGGGGAGGAGAGGGAGAGGAGACAGAAAGAGGAGAGGAGAAATAACCTATAGATTAATAGAGACTTAAAAAGCACATTAATCAATTGTAATTTATGGTCCTGGTTTGGATCTCCATTTGAATAAACTGTCAAAATCATTTAAGATAAAAAAATTTGAACATTTCATATTTGATATTAAGGAACTGTGGGTTACATCTGACAATAATATTGCGGTTATGTTTTTAATGTTCTTTTTAGCCATACATGCTGAAATTTTATAGATGAAATTATTTCAAAAATTTGCTGGGGTGGGAGCAAGGAATGGGTGAGAGCAGAGATGAAACAAGATTGGCCATGAGTTGACAGTTGTTGAAACTGGTTAAGAATGTGGCAGTTCATTATTTTGTTCTCCTTATTTATGCATATGTTTGAAATTTTCCACAGTAAGCCTTAAAAGATGTTGAAGTTTTCAAAAGTGTTAGGAAAGTTCAGTTTCTGACTTGTCTAGTTTATGGTAATTAGCAAGTTCACTATCATATTGTATATCTCGGAGGAGTACCTTTCAAGGTACAAACCACACCTATTAATGTAATTATGGACATCCTGTTTAATATTTTCTTATGTAAACAATGTAATGTCATTTAAATTCCTATGATGTTATATAAAGTATTGTGCACAATAATTATAAATCAACTCATCCAAAGAGAGGTCAGTACTTAACAGCAAAACACCATCTAATAACTCACTTCCAGACACAAAAGGTTATACAAAAAAATTTTTATTAAGTACAGTTTCATATTTAGAAGAACATTCAAGATTACAAATGCGATTGGATCTTTAGGATACATAATTTATTCTTAAAATACACACATTATATACAGACATTAGAAACTCAGTCTCCAAAATACTCAATAAAGATGTTTGGGTGACACTTATAAAACTGATCTAGCAATTTTTTCTTCTCTTTGGCAGACAGTTTTGTATCCTCATCAATCGTCTTTAGTAAACTCAATAGCTCATCCTTGGTTGTCTTCTGTGTATGGTCAGAATAACCATTTTGATCAATTCTCTGGCAAAAAATATATCCTTAAATTTTAAAAGCAAAAAGTTGTTAATCTGTTCCTCAGATTTAGCTATAAAAATCATATTTATATACTTTATTCCCCATTTTGTAAGATTCACTGAAGGTGCTGACTTTCTAACCCTGGTCAAGCTGGTTTTGAGCATTTGGAGGCTCTCTGCTAAGCCTAGATAACTCTGAGGAGATTGTTGAAAGTTTAGAAGAAATTAAAGTACAACTACATAGAGCAAAACACTCAAATAAACAACAGGAATTATCTTTGGAAGATCATGAAAATAATATTTCTCAGATTACCTGTGTTTCTGTTTGGATCTCTTCCCTTCTGGATGGCCATGAGCTTAACACTGACAATTTTATGTAGAGTTCCAGGAATCTTTAAAAAAAAAGAAGAGACCTGGGACATTATTCAAATGCATTTAAATCTAGTGATCTATTGCATAAATTCGACTCGACTACTTTCAGAGTTTTACCTTAAAAACATCTTTTTGATGATCCATTAAAAATAGTACCAGAAGATCAGTTTTGCCTTTGGATAAATTTTTATTGTCAACAATAGCTTTTGAGAATATCCTTTTCACAACCATTCGGTTGTCGCTCTATAAAAATAAAACAAAACACACCTAATGGTATATATTTAAAAGAATGAGTTAAATATAAAAGGCAATGTTAAATATTAACAGCTATTATCCACTTCAGCATACTTGATGATAGAAGAATCTGACATGTGGGTCCTATTAAGGATACTGACTACAATTAACATTTAGATAAAAGACTTACTTCTTTCTGTAATTTAAATTCAGAAGGATGTGCTGCAACAGCCATGAAATACAGTAGTCTTCTAAATTCTTCTCTATTTTGGGAATCCAAAAGCTTTAGAAAGAGCTGAGTAGCTTCTAATGCTATTTCAGTCTTCCCATTCACTTTAGCCAAAAGAAAAAAAAAGTGGTTTTAACTTGGACCAAATGACTATATTAAAAAGGAACAAAATTCGAGTTAAAGCTTAAGCTAAACAGTAAACTTATTCAACACAATATTCAAAAGCAAAACAAAACAAAGATTAGGAATTACAGTGAATGACCAATACAATCGAGATAGCCTACTCTCAAATTGGCAATTGATACCCTAAGTCCTTGTCATATAATAATCTTAGGATGTTAAGTCAACTCTTGGCTTTGTACATAAATTCCTTAATTCAATAAATTTTGAGGGTACACTATGTGAACAGTACTGATGTATCCAACTCTACCTGAGAAAAATAGAAAGGATTCTCTGATATCTCCAATTTGTTTTCAACAAACCACAT